TTGCGCCTTATCGTCCGAAAAATACGGCACATGAAAATCTGCAGCTCAGAAGCAAAACATAAAGGAGCTAGGTGTGGTTAAATATTTGCACTGTACAGTTTATGAGTGCTTGATTTAAAATCATGTTAGATTTCATTTCATGATGACTTCATGAACTAGCCATGCAGAAAGATCACCTGCATGTTCTCACAGAATATTTCCCTGCCTTTTTAAACCATGCATTGTTTAGCCTCATCACTGCACACAGTTTTCCAGCTTTCCACCTGCTTTGTTGCCTACAGTTCAACTATTCTCAGGCCGCAGGGTTTTCTTGTTTTTATTTTAGCCAGACTATACAGTAAGTGAGATTAACTGCAGTCATGTAATGTTCCTCAGGGCCTACAGACACAGAGATGTATTTAACTATACGAGTGCAGGCTCCCTGTAGATTTACAGACTGTGTTTTTGCTGTAAGACTACCAGAAAGAGCCAGTCTTGGTGTAGCATTGGCTCCATATGTCTGTGTGCATTCTCGTTGTCTAAGCAGGCATCCGTCTGTCTCTCAGTAGCGCTCTTGGTATTTGAAACTCCAGATGGATGAATGCAATTAGATGTAATATGCTAAAACTAAATGTCAACACGTCGCCTTTTATAGCTTTAGCTCTCTTTTGTTGCCACGTTCTCGTCTGCCTGAATGAGCTCGTTCCATTCTGAACATGGACCACTGAGTTCGCTTCGTTTAGGAGAAACCAGCTTCTGTTTTTTCCCTCTCTTGCCTGCGATATCAGCAGCAGTCTTACGCCATTTGTGGTCGGAAAAATAAAAACGGTTCTGACGCCTCTGAATCATGTTGCCCACTCAACATAGGAGAGCTGCTTTATGTTTTCACTGTAACCTGAACACAAAAAAAGGTTTTGATTGAATGGATCCCTCTGTCAGTGAAATAAAAGACAAGGATGCAGAGCAGGAGGAGTTGATACGTAAGCCTGTCATCTTCTGTCGTTTCTCTGACTCTCCTGAGACATAATTAAACACATGTGAGCTCCAGTATTCAGGTGCCGCTCAGTTAGTCAGCGGTCGTTAATAATGAACATTTTGAATCAGTTATCACGTTCGTGTGCCACCACCGTATGAAGCTTCACTTTAATATAAGGTGTTGCAGAACTTCTGCAACAAAATATGGCTTCATGTCCTGAGAAATTACTGGACAATAAACGTTATAGCACTGTAAGTCTTTGTGTGAATAATCATCTTGCAAATTAAAATTACGTTAAGATTTTTTTTTAAAGTTGCAAAATAGCAGTAAACTCTAAAAGTAATAGCTGAGATCTTTTGAAGTGAGGTTCTGTAGAAAGCAAACAACAATTAAATGCAGCTGTTATTAACAAGTATTTTAAAATGTATATCTTAAGACACTATTTTCAGTTGGTTATATCAAAATCTACCATAATCTTTCCATGCTCGCAAAAAATTTAGAGTCTCTTGTGAGTGACCAAGTTAAGGAATTTGTATCTCGCAATACCATCATCTCACCCTTTCAGTCAGGCTTTAGAAAGAGGCATAGTACCATAACAGCTGCTTTGAAGGTGGTTTACGACATTATTGTCGCTCTTGATAAGAAGCAGTGCTGTGCGGCTCTCTTTGTCAATTTGTCAAAAGCAATTGATACTGTAGACCATGAAATTCTGATAGCCAGGCTGCAGGACTCTGTTATTTATTTTTATTTTTTAAACAAGCTATTGCTTGGTTTATAAATAATCTCTGGAATAGGACACAATGTATTAAACATGATAATTTGTGTTCAGAAGTTGTAACTGTTCATAAGGGGGTACCACAGGGTTCTATGTTAGGTCCTCTTCTATTCACAATTTATATAAATGAATTGGGACAGAACGTGTCTGATACTAATTTGCATTTTTATGCAGACGACACAGTTATTTATTGCACTGGATCCACTTCTACTCAGGCTATTGAACTATTACAAAAATACTTTGCTGCTATCCAATGCTCTTTATTAAATTTAAAACTTGTCCTGAACTAAATCGATGTACTGTACTTTTCCATATCCAGAGGAGCACAAAAGAGCTCCTCTGTGTTCTCTTGCAGTGGGAATGAAATAGAGTTGGTTCACACATATAAATATTTGGGCATTTTGATTGATGATTCCCTCACTTTCAAACCCCATGTGGAAAGTCTTGTGAAAAGGCTGGGCTTTCATTTTCTAAACAAGTTGTGTTTTTCATATACTGCTAAGAAGCAGCTTGTGTCTGCAACTTTTATGTCTGTTTAGGACTATGGAGCTCTTTTGATTGCTTCCTCAGAATGTCTTGACTTTGTCTACCTATTTTCTCTGAGGATCATTACAAACTGTAAAATGTCAACACACCATTGTGATTTGTACTCACGGGTGGGATGGCCTGGTCTGACCACCCAAAGGAACTCCCATTGGTTAACTTCCATTACAAGGCACTGCTTGGACTTGGACTCTATATTTGTACTTCAATTGCACTGAAAAATGTTGAAACTGATAAAAAGGTTTGCAGGCTTAATCATTTAGGTAGATAACAAAAGAAGGTTAAATCATTTCATCCGGACCAGTTTCTTTAAGGGAGAAACGTTTCGTCTTGACTTTTCGCTCACATGATTAGCTGCTTCTTTCTGTTCCTTTTGCTCGGACTGAATTGTGTAGGAAGGCTTTCGTTCACTCTGCTCCCTCTTTTTGGAACTTGCCACAAGAATCTCTGAGCTTGACAGAATTCATCTCATTCAGTGCATTTACATCCAAACTAAGTTACTGAGGCCAATTCAATGACACGTACCTGTTTTTTTTACAGTTTGACATTTTCTTTTAATGGTGTAATTTTTGTCTGGTATTTGTTGCTGCCTCTTGATCAGGTCTCCCTTGAAAAGAGATTTTTAATCTCAGTGGGGTTTTATCAGAAGAGACGGCTCAAACACTTGTTTGTCTGATATCTGGCTTACGTTTGTTCTTTTGAGCCCTATACAGAAATGTGTTCTGTGCTTTTAGCCATCCTTAACATTAGAAGCAGTGCAGCGGTGCAGCAGTTTGGGGTGATTCGCAGCACGCAGGCACTGTGCTGGTCAAGGGCAGGAGAATTAACTGAGCATGTTTTTGTTGTTGGGAGAAACCAGAGCTCCCAGAGGAAGTCCACATAAACCCTGCTCGCTCTGGGTCCTCTTGATGTGATGTGGCAGCACTAACCTCTAAGACATAGAGCTGCTCTTATACTCTGCTTTTTAACCCTGTGTTGGTTTTCTTGCTTCTGTGGAAAATATCACTGCCAGATGTCCAATCCATCTTTGTTTTGTTCTTAGTCGTTCGTTTCTAAAAGATTCAGCCCCAAGGCAACTTTCTTTTCTCTTCGAAAAGTTGAATAGCTTCTTAAAAACTGAGGGTTTTATAAAAACTGAACCAAAGTATCTGTGTCTCAGTATTTAAAGAAGAGGAATGAGTTTTGACTTTTATTATTTTTTTGCCCTTTATGGGTGTCGCTCTTTGAACACGGATAAAAAAATAAATAAAGTTTTAACGTGTTATAAATATAAGAAGCCATGAAAAAACATTGATAAAATATCATAAATTAGTATAAAACTGGGGCAGCACGGTGGCGCAACTGGTAGAGCTGCTGCCTCTCAGCGAACAAGTCCCTGGTTCAAACCCCGGTCCAGGGGCCCTCTGGGTGGAGTTTGCATGTTCTCTCCGTGCATGCGTGGTGGAGTTTGCATGTTCTCTCCGTGCATGCGTGGGTTTTCTCCGGGTGCTCCGGTTTCCTCCCACAGACCAAAAACATGCATGTTAGGCTGATTGGTAACTCTAAATTGTCCCTAGGTGTGAGTGAGAGTGCATGGTTGTTTGTCTCTATGTGACCCTGTGATGGACTTGCGACCCGTCCAGGGTGTACCCCGCCCCTCGCACAGTGATTGCTGGACATGGGCACCAGCGACCCCCGTGACCCAAAATGGAATAAACGGGTAAAGATAATGGATGGATGGATGGAGTATAAAAGTGGATTTCTTTCTCAGTTTTACAATTTTATTTGTCAGTTTAATGTTTGTATTTAACAATTTCACACGTTGTTTTTAGTAAAATGGAATAAATCAAAGTAATGTCAAAATTTCAGCCTTTGCTTCTGTATATTATGCGTATTCCTGGTCAGTTAAACTTCAGTCAGCAATTCAACAGCATGAAAGATGTTTTACAAACATATATATGCTGGTTTTTGTGCGTTCACTCATTTAATTTGTTTAATAATAAGTAAGAAAAAGGCCTAGCATTTCTTGAAAGAATGTATATCGCCTTTCACATCAAAGCTTTAAACCAAATTCTTCTTAAGATGGGAAGATAGTTATAGCCGTTGTAAATTATGGTATGCAATATCATTCTATCTGTTAGCACTTCCAATAAGTTGTAATCAGTCCCAACTACTACCAAAAAAATATCTGATCTATATCTGTACAATTGGATGAGGTTATATTGGATGAGTTTATGTCCTTTTATATGTTTGCTAAGGTCAGTTAGCTGTGGCGGCCATCTTCAATTACTTTGCCTTCAAAAATTAATTACTTATAGATGTACATCCAATGATTAATTTCTGGGAATTTTATTAAAATCAATTTAGTGGTTTATGAGATAATTTGCTAACAGACAAGTTGAATTGAATAGTTTGGGTAAAGATTAAAAACAGATGTGCTCTCAGTTAGCATTTAGCATATGATTGAGGGGTCAGCTTCAGCTACTAACACATGAAATTTTAGTTCAATATTAGTACAACTGAGTTATTTATGTGTTTGCATAGCTGTGGTGGCCATGTTGGAAGTGTTCTTTAAACTCTGCTCAGTAATTCATTAGATATTATGGTAACACATAAGACAAAACACACACAGTCATGGGCAGATTCATATGATAATACATATGAAAAATAAAAACCATCACTCATAATTAAATGCATACCTGTTTTTTAATGATTTCCTTTTTTGTCTTTTGTTTTCCTCTCTTTTAGGCAAATACGTGTATCAGCCCATGACCAATGTGTGCCAGCTGCCCAGCACAGCTGTGCCCCCTGTGGGCGCAGAGTGCAGCAACACCATCGACATGTCCGTCTCTCTGGCCGAGCGCTTCCTGAAGCTGGCGCCCAGCTTCCAGTCCCCGCCTCATCTAGAATCACCCAAATACTGCGTCATCGCAGACCTGTTCCTGGACGACTACATCGTCAAAAGGATCAACGGGAAGATGTGCTACGTGCAGCGTCCCCCGCCTCCCTTACCAGAACCACCTCGACCTTCCACCCCTCAGCTACCTGCCCTAGCTACACCTCAACTGCCCGTAAATCCCGATCCGCCTCAGCAGCTGGTCAGCGCTCCACAGCCAGGGATCCAGCACACTCCGGCTCCTGTGCAGCAGGTCCACAGTGAACAGAAACACCTCTCTGCTGTTGAAAAGCTAAAAGCCCCTAAAATGGACCACTGCTCCTCTCCGTCCAGCTCGGAGGACTCCGGCATTAACGCCTTAGGTCTGCACTACTTGGAGTCCTGTGAGGAGGGAAGTGAGGATGAGGAGGAGGATGAGCTGAGCACAGATGAAAACTTGAGTCCGAGAAGTCTCTGGGATCAGGATGACTGTTCTCTTCTCTCCCCGTCCAAATCCATGATAGAGATCATCGAAAAGATCGAAACAACTGTGTAACGGACTGAGGAGGTTCCACAGAGCAGAGTCTTTCACCAGAGGCCGACCCTGCAGGGTTTATTTTTACACGGACCCATCAGGAGCGAACCCCAATCTGTTGCTTCCACGGGGCTTTGCAGGGTCCGATTCAGGCTGAATTTGTTTTCCTGCAGGTGTCCGAGGATTGTACGCCCCACATTTTCACACAGCTTCTCCTCTGTCCCATTTCCCTGCATGGAATTCATTTCTGAAACTCACTGGAATCAAAGAGGAAGCACAGGAATACCAAGTACATGCACGGCAGACAAAAAAGACCTTCGTTATATGGTTATTCAGTAAATTTCAAAAGCGTAGAATAGGAGCACTTCAAAGGATAGTGAGGAAAATATATTTTTTTCCCCGAGAGTCTGCATTGAAATTAAATGTGTATGCGCAAAGATGGTTTGTGTTAATGACGATAATTAGCAGGGAGGTAATTCTCTGCAATCTTCAGCTGTCAGCTTGTCATGCTTCAGTCTATTTTAGCGTTCGAGTGGCAGATAAGCACGCCAACCCTTGTTCTCTGGTCAGCGGCTCCACCCACACACATTACTAATTCTCACACTTTAGCATAATGACGACAAGGCCAGCTACCTCTCATGGGCCTCGAGCACGTCAGCCTTTTAACCCATTAATGGTTCCTCTCTGAGCTGCAGGGACAACCCTGCTGTTAACAAAAAAAATACTAATAAAAAAAGAGTTTGGGGGGTATGGGTAGGGGGAGGGGGCACAGTTTGTCTGCACTTTACTGGCACCACCACAGGCGGCAGGTAGGTCAGTGTTTGACAATCAAAAGGTTACACAGAAGCACATTCCTAAACTGTACCTGCCACTTCGGACCAAGGTTCGAAAACCATTTTGTTCTTCTGAGCGCCATTTTTTGAGGTTGAGTAACTGAGCTACAGAGCTGCTCAGGGTTTCATGAAGCATCAAGCAGCCAAGAAGAAACACAACAGAAGTAGGTGGACCTTATCATGCAAGCTAAATGTAGAGGAAAAAGGTCTAATTTATCCATATTACCCTACATTATAACACAACTACTTTGTAATTCTATATCTGGGGGCTATAAGGATAGTAGAACATTGTTTTGAGATGATTAAAAAGTAGACTTGGAAAGAAGTTTGTTAGACTAGTATTTCACTGTTAGTTTATACTATTGAGCAGAAATAATCACTTATTGCACCTTTTTAAGGGGTGTTATAGTATGCGATGGGACGTTACTTGTTGTTGCATTGTAGCAGGTATAGCAAGAAATTTGCCAGCCTCTTATTAGTCAATCAAATCAAATTTGGCTGCATTAATTTTTTAATTTTTGTTTCTTTGTTTTGTTAATCTGCTATGCTATCACTGAAAATTATCACAAGTATGGTTGCAGTTTTTCCAAGTGGTGGTTTAGATCCTTTAAAGTGGAGTTTTGTGAGACAATTGTTGAATGGTTAGTATCTTACCTGCTGTAGATAGTTTGAACAACTTCAGTTTGGAGAAACCGGTCACCAATCCAGTCAAAATCAATTTAACTGCTAAGTGAGGCTAAAACTAAAAGAGGTTGCTGCTTTTTTTAAACTTCAGCCTCAGAAATTTCATGGCAGTTCATGTGAACGCTATTTTAGAACACCTTTACGTTGTTGTAAATTTTACAAAACAAGTTTACATGGAATTCTGTGGTAACATTATGTGCCAGGTCAAGTACAGGCAGGAGCAGCTAGCGGTAGCACTTCCAGCAGGAATGTTATTAGATTTATTTTAAAATAACCATGTAGTGTTAAAATTACAGCAACAAAATAGTTAATATAGCGTTCACATTTAAACATTTGAAATGCTGTCCACTATACTCTTTATCTGTTAGCCCACCAGTCAAATTTAATATTTTTTCCTCCAGATATTGTTCAAAGAGTAATCTACAGCAGGTAAGATATTAATTATTCATAGCCTTTCCACAAAACCCCCACTTCAATAAGCTCTGAACCGTCTCTGATTAAGGCAAATCTTTTCTATAGTCATTTAGCACGACTGTATTATTTTCAAAGAACAACAGAAACCCTTACAAGTTTTTCTATTTCTTTTTATTCCACCATTATCACAACTAACAGAGGCCCTCTTAATGCAGTTCAAGACATATTTTATGTTCGTATTATTGTCATATTATTTTCTTATAAATAAATCTTACAAAACCGACTTTTGTTTTTTTCTCCTGTGGCTGCTGCAGTCGTTCTCTGTTTCAGACTAATCAAGGATGTTCTCTGCTCGGCACGCAGACGACGAACGCTTTAAAGGAATCAGTGGATTTTGAAAATCGACGTTAAATCAAGTTCTTCTGCAGATGTCTCTGAAATGTCGGGAAGAATGTTCTTGTTTCTTTGCTTCTCACATTCCTTCATTTGTAACTTTTTACTGACTGTGCTACATTGAATGATATTTCACAAAGAAGGGCGAGCTATGAGTGGAGACGGCTAAATAGGACCTGCAACAGCTTTATGTAAGACGTGAAATATTGATCAGAGTCAAGTATCTCCTGCTGCGACATCCCCAGCTCTCCCTCACCGATCAGTGACACAGGTGGAGCTGTATGTCCTCTGGGCGCCCCTTCCCTTTCTAGACGCTCTTCTTCACTTTTTGTTTGTATTTTATGAGTGCATTTCTCACTTTGATTGATTTCTACATGCTTCTTCTCTCAGCTTGCATTGTGTTCATTGATTCTTCCAGAAAACCGAGAAAGGGTGGAATGCTAATTGGTTTTTTATGTATATTTATTAACCTGATGAAGAGGAGAGGTGTGCTCGGGAGCAGAAAATGAGGAAGAGGAATGGAGAAGGAGGACAACGTAGGATAGAAGGCAGGAAGAGGCAGAGGAAGCTTAATTAGATGTGTGATGATGATGCAAGAACATGTAAAAAGTCTCAGCACAGGCTCTGTGTATGTCAGGAGTTTGACTTTTTATTTTTAAAGCTTCAGACGCATTTCAAGTAGAGATCACCGAACTGTTAATCCCCCCAGCAAAGTCGTTCAGCTGACAAGCACCTTGAGCCATGAGAACGTACACACACAGAGGAAGACACACCAAATCAAAAAAATGTCCTTGTTCAAGGACTGTTCACTGAGATGGACACACACGCTCTATAGAGACATGTTGTCAGTTCCACTTCTCCCCATTTACACGTTGGCATAAGGATTCTGCTCATGTGTGTGTGCGGTTTTCGTTTTATTAATCTTCCAGGGGATAAAACAACTCCTAAAATCAAAAATCATAAGACACAAACCAGTACTCGCCTGTTTAAGAGTAAAAAAACATGAAAGAGATTCAAATAAATTACCTCTTAAAGACTGTTTCTTATTCAAGATGTGATAAAAAGCTGCACTTTTATTATTTGTCATTTTAGCAGAATGTCACGATAAATAAGGAGCCTATTCAGACAGTGCAGACGTTTTGAACTAAAATCTGTAAAAAGTTTTTGAACAATGTTGTAGATAGTTCTTGGAATAACTGCAATTTGAAGGAACTTAATTTAAATCTCTTAATCGGTTAAACTTAAGGTTAATCTGGGAGAAAACTGTCCAAAAACAACTCCAGTCTCAAAGATTTCACATTGGTTCATGCAAACAATATTTTATGAGCATTCATCTCAATGGATGACTTTTGTAGAATCTGTGGCAACTTAGAACTGCAAGAAAATTGCAAGAACACAGGCCAATTTTTTTTTATTGCGACCTCACTAAATTCTGTGTATTGCAACCAGCAAGCCATGTGGCTGAGATCTGAAAGGCCAAATTTTGAAATTCACATTTTTTTTTTTGCATGGATGTCTTGTAAAATTACATTTTAGGTCATACAAGTGCAAATAGCAGCTGCAGTAATGTGCTGTGAAACTGATGGAGATATATAAAATAGGATTCTTGTGAAATACTATGAAATGTTTCAGACTGGAGTTGCTTTAAGGCAGCAGCAGTACATTGGTTAGCTTGTCAGTCCAGTCAGTATTAAAATCTGTCTCCAAACTTGGCCCATTAAGTAAGTGACCTAGAGCAGGTAAGATATTAATTGTTCATAACCTTTTCATGGTACCCTGCTTCAAACGCTCTGATCTGTCACTTTAACAGAAAAGACAGAAATGCCTGAATGCTTTTACTTTATCAGATGGACAAAAGCATCATTTTATTAAAACTGGTCTCTTATAATTTTGATTTTTTTCACATCCCTAGAACTTGTAACAAAACTTTAAACAGGCATGCCCAAACATTTAAATTGCACCTGTCTGGTTATATGTGCTGGTGTTTTAACATCGACATCCAATTGACATTTCAGAGTCAAGAAAAAATATATCTGCTTAATGAAAATAAACGCACAATCAGTATACTTTCAAATAAACTGTGCACCCAAAGAACAATTATAAGCTTTGTACCCACTTGTAAAAGTAAAAGGCTTTGACTTCTTAAAACCCCTGCTATGTTGTACAATGAGGCAGACTAAGTGCATTCAGTCAATGGCCCAGTGGCAGACCATGCTTTACAGAGAAACTTCCCAATAAAGCAGCAGGAATCAGTTTAGGCCAAAAGACAGATTGACTTTGGTGTTTAAATACAACGTTTCCTACCAATACAGACTCAAGCTGTTTAGGAATGTACATAGAGCCTGATGTCAGGCAAGGTCGAGGAAAAGTGCATTTAAAGCTGAAATCCACCTATAGGAATAATTATAGAAGCTGAGGAGTTCTCAAAATTTCCAATTTGACGGTTTGCATTTACATCAGCTCCAGAGAGCCACGGAGTGCATAGAGCTTCCTCCCATACCTCAAACTTCAGAGCGAAACCTCAGCGGCAGCACTCATTTTATTTCAGAATGACCATTTATGTTGCAGCATGCTGTCACTGTGATTGGGCCCATGAAAGCCTCGTGCAGGTGCCAGGGGAGACCCAGCAGCGGTGTGCTGATAAACAATCAGACACATGGTTTGCCTTGGCCATGCTCGGCGGGTGATGGCTTTCTGATAAGCTCTATAAACACCAGAGCGTCACCTGCAGAGCAGCTTTGCTCTCTCTGCCTGTAAAATATTCATGGCTTTTTTTTTTTTTTTTTTTTTGTCGGTGTCTTTCCTCATCTTTGAAATGGGTTTTGAGGTCTTTTTTTCTTTTTATACACGGAGCTTGACTTTTTTCCTGTGAACTGCAAACAGCTTTAAGTTTTAGTGTCTGTTTGAAAGTATTTCTCCTTTTTGTTAGTTTGTTGCTGAAAGCTTCTCGGTGATTCATTCTTTCACTCATTCTGATAGAAAGCTGGTGAGTGTTATTTTTTGTGATGTCAAAATGACTCACAGCAGTGGAGCTGAATCTGATCTTTCTTACTGTTAACTGGGCTACATTCATCTGTCATCCTGTGGCCGACTGGACAAACGACTATTTCCAAAGCAAACATTTGCTAAAATCAAAGTTTGT